CGGCAGCGAAAGGTGAGGGGCGAGGTGCTAGCTCGACCGGGACCGCGCAGCTCCAGGGTGGGGTCTCTGGGCACAGGGTGGGGGTCTCGGGTGGGCTAGCGGAGGACGCAGGTCCAGGAAAGGTCGGCCGCCGACCCGTCCACCCTGCCGCCTCAAGGGCCACCCCTCCGCGGCGCGGCTAGGCCCGCGGCTCCAACCTACCGGCGCCGCCGCGGGGACCCAAGACGCGCCTCTGCGCCGCCTCCGCTGCTCCAACATGGCCGCCCGCTGCGCGCCGGAAGTGCGTTGAGCTTCCGCTTCCGGGACCCAGCTCGCCCCAGTGACCTTTAACCTGCGAGACCCCATTTTCCCCTAAAGTTTGGGGACGGTGCAGAATGGCTACCAGGGATGTCTTCCTGGAGGTGGTGGCCGCAGAGATCTCTCCAATTTTTTCTGGTCCTGTATGGGAATCTGAGGAACTGAGACGTCCTAGGACAGAACCCCTGGCAGGACTCACTGGAGCCTAGCTAAGACTAGATTAAGGGTTGTCTGACACCCTCTCTGAGGGAACCTGGTAGTGCAGTGACATCTAGGAAGGACTCCTGGCCAAGTTCAGGCCATCCTGAACTGGTCCTCCCTCAGCCATTGACAAGGCCCACTGCTATCCCAGACACCTGACCAGAGGGTGAAAGGGAGTGCCACCGACAGAGAGTGTCTCAAGGGAAACCCTGTTGATTTACAGTAAGGGTACCTCCTGTGAGGACAGCAGACCTGCCTCTCTTTCTGAGATTGGGGCCTACCACACATGGCATGAAAGGCTGGTGTGCATTTGTGATTAGAAGTGTTGCACACAAACCCAAGGCTGTGCATGGTCAGTCTGTGAATACCAGTCCACCACTTTGGGCCTGAGCATACTTACTCAGGCATGTGTGCACAAGTGTAGTGGGGAAACACTGGCTTAGACTCAGCCCCTCAATGGCAGGAAGTTGTGTCTCCAGTCTTTTTTTTTTTTTTTTTGAGTTGGAGTCTTACTCTGTAGCCTAGGTTGGAGTGCAGTGGCACGCTCACGGCCACCACAGCCTCAGCCTGCTGGGCTCAGGCGATCCTTCCACCTCAGGCTTCCAAGTAGCTGGAACTACAGGTGAGTGCCACCATGCCCAGCTAATTTTTTGATTTATTGTAGAGACGAGGTCTTGCCAAGTTGCCCAGGCTGGTCTCGAAACCACGGGCTCAGGCAGTCCTCTCACCTCATTCTCCCAAAGTGCTGGGATTATAGGTGTGAGCCACTGTGCCCAGCCTCCCTCCTCATATGACCCCAGATCCTCTGGCTGCTCTGTATTCCCCTTGCGTATACAGAGGGACCTAGGTACCCCTACTCAGCAGTGCCCTAGGCCTCACCTGGTGCCCCTTAGCTTCCTAGGGCCTCAGCACTGATAGTGGGGTCCCCAGTGTCTTTAAAGTCAAAATGCTCAGCAGGAAGTGCAAAACCTCCTGCTCCTTCAGGATCAGTGCCTCTAGTTCCTTGACCTGGTAGAGAGAAAGGAAGAGTGGGGCTCCAAAGGCCAGGGTCTTATGGGGTGCAGTCAGGAATTCCCAACTTGGTGTTCCCAGCTCCCAACTTTAGGTGAGCCCTGTCTCTGGCCCTATCCATGACTGAGAGTTGACTGTTTACTCTCAAGACTGATTCAATCTCACCTTCCACCCAGTTGTCTTCTACAGCTTCTCCAAAGCCAGCAGTGTTGGCTTCCTGTGTGCAGGTGGCCTTGGCTGGGCAAACAGAAGCCACTTCCTTGAAGAGTCAGAGCCCAGCCTCCATGGATGGCACTAGTCTAGGCATGTCCAGACCCCTCTCTGGTGATGTTCAGCACAAAGGTCAGGGAAAAATGGAGGATCAAGAAGGGTAGGACTATCCTTTGGCCATGTCCCTTTCAGGTATGAGAACTGGGGGAGGGAGTGATGGCAGGGATTGGGGTAAAGATAATGGGTACCTATCTTTCTGAGGCAAAAGACGCTGAATCTTTTGCCTCCTGGTGCCACATATGCCCTAGATGGAACTCTTTGGGAGCACTCATCAGAGCACAATCTGACTTGACCTTTGGTGGATGCTGAACCCATGGGCATAACTGCGATCAGATAGAAAGAGGTAGGAAAAGAACACAGGGTGATCCCAGGATCCAATCCTTGCTCTCTATTTGGTATCATTTTTATTTTTTATTTTTTGAGTTGGAGTCTCACTCTATTACCCAGGCTGGAGGGCAGTGGCACACTGCTCACAACCATTGCAGCCTCAACCTCCTGGACTCAGGCAATCTTTCTGCCTCAGCCTTCCAAGTAGCTGGTACCAGGCATGCGCCACCACACCCAGTAGAATTTTTGATTTGTTGTAGAGACAAGATCTCGCCATGTTGCTCAGGCTGGTCTCAAATTCCTGTGCTCAGGCAATCCTTTCACCTCCATGTCCCAAAGTGCTGGGATTACAGGCATGAGCCACCACGCCCAGCCCATTTGGCATCTTATATGTTCTAAGTGGACTCTGGGCCTAGCCAAGGACCAGGTCTCTACCTGAGCAGAGAAATTTGGTGGAGATCTAGATGTGAGTGAAGGTAATGGCCTGGGAGGGATTGTTCCAAGAAAGGGTATGTGTACCAGGGAGAAAAGCCAGGGTTGAATCTTGAGGAGCCATTCCCTGCGGAGGGAGAGGAAACAAGGCTTGCAAACAATTCCAAGAGGCAGGACAAGCAGCAGGAGGAAGCTGAGGTCACAAGAGGTAAAACTTTGAAGATGTCAGCAAGATTTCAGTTGAGTTTTAGCTGTAGAGTATTCCATGGTTACTTTTGCAAGAGCAATTTTGGAGAAATGGCAGCAGACTGAAGTGGCATATAACAAGGAGTTGGAGCTTGGGAGGGCAGATGGCTTTGTGAGTTTGACTGGAGGGGAATAAGGGGAGACTAGAGGGACTCAGGGGGCTGGAAGGTATCTAAAGGCAGGTGGCTTATAAGTGCTTAATTGCTGGAAAGGAGGGGGAGGGAGCTTAGAAAGGGAACAGTGGCAAATGTGAAGGGGTCTGCAGGGCAATGTGAGCATCCTGTAGGGGGAGGTACCAGTGCCCCAAGTGAGGAGCAAGTCGGGAGCAAAGTGAGATGGGAGGATAAAGACCTTCTAGTCAGGGTCTGTGCAATAACCAGCCTTGGCACCACCATTTCTTTTCTTTTTTTTTTTGAGTTGGAGTCTCACTGTGTCGCCCAGACTGGAGTGTAGTGGCCGCTCCCGGCCACCGCAGCCTCGACCTGCTGGGCTCCGGCGATCCTTCCACCTCAGCCTTCCAAGTAGCCGGAATTACAGGCGTGCGCTACCATGCCTGGCTAATTTTTTTGATTTTATTGTAGAGATGAGGTCTCGCCTGCCCAGGCAGGTCTCGAACCCGCAGGCTCAGGCAATTCACTCACCTCAGCCTCCCAAAGGCGCGGGATTACAGGCTGAGCCACCGAGCCCAGTTGGCACCACCATTTCTGTGCAGGCCCTCTACTCCAACTGTCAGCCCCTGAAAGGGGCTGAAAGCCCTCTCTCTAGTCATGGGGAAGGTGTTCTATCCGTACTCTGGGAAGGCCAGAAGTGAGTTAGACCCAGAAATTAATGCCCCCAAAGAGCTCTCAACCCATGCCCAATGGGAATTTGAGAATGAGTATCTTAGTTTCCCTTGCTCTTGAGGAAAGCAATAATGTGAGGTTCGTGTTCTACACTGGCTCCTTGAGTCCTCAGCAGGATTTGGTCCCAGTTGTCCACAGTAGTAACTTGCTTGATGACACCTACTTTAAGCTGCTTTCCCTATCTCCATGCCATTGCTGGTGTTTCCTGGTCTCACCTCCCACGCCATATGCACTTGTATCTTCATTTCCAGGTCTGCTTTGGAGAAACTAAACATTGTCTATGAAAAGGGGAAAAGCCAGTGAGCAGACACAGATAACTGCAAGGACCTCTTCCCACAGTTACCACTGACCTGTACACGTGAGTCTCCAATTCAAAGACTCAGCTAATACTATGAATGTTCAGAAGATAGGCAGGGCCAGTGTCTGAGATTGAGGTAGGTGAGCCCTTATCACATCAGTTTGCTCTCACCTTACCCCAGATTTGGCTAGAGGCAGGCTCAGGACCCTAAAGATGGATAGACATAAAATTCCTTGGGCCTCAGGTCTCAGGTCCTACTGGATGAGGCCAGAGTAACCCACCTGGGTGGTCTCAAGGCCTCTAACTCTTCTAGCTCATCCCCTGCTCAGAGTTACCGCTCCTTCCAAGAATTCCCCGCACCCGGGCTTCCCTGAGGCCAGCACAGTCTGTTCTTCCATCCCCCAATAGCCTCAATGTACATCCTAGGATTTATTCTATGTCCCGCTTTTTGCCCTGCTAAGGGCGACCCAGCCGGCCGCCTCCGCCAGAGAGGCCTAGGCCACGCCCCTAGGGGCCTTCAAGGGGCTCCACCGAGAAGCCTGTCTTAGCCTGGTGGGCGGGCGCCAGTCACTCAAGTCCCCAGGTTCTGCTGGCCCGCTCTACAGCCAGCTCACTCTGGCTGAGTTCGGCTCAGAACGACTCCTCGTCCTACATGTGTTGTGTTGGTCACCGCTGCCCCATTTCTACCCCTGTCCGAGGTCAGACTCTAAATCCTGACAGGTCCAGTGTCCACATGTCCATTTATCTGTTTATTTGCTTGTGACTGTGGGTAGGCGCACCCTGCTACAGCCACGGCATGTGCAGGGTTAAGGCGGGAGGAGATTTCCCCGACTGGGGAAGGTTGGGGGGCGAGGGGCGGACCCGGCCCAGCCCCGCCCCACGCCGGAGCCGTGCCGGAGCCGTGCCGTATCCCAGCCAGAGCCCGTCTTCAGCCCAGACTGGTACGGCGTCAGCGGAGGCGGAACGGCGGACCCAGTGCTTTGGCGGCATCCGAGCCTCGGCTGGTGAGTCCCAAGGGAGCTGCGTTCAGGGGAAGTTTGGGGCGCGGGACATAGAGCCCTAAATGCATTAGCTCAGATCTGCACCCCCACCCGTGAGCTGAAGTTTGGGGCCAGGAGGCCCTCCTGCCAGAGGCCCAGGAGTGTAAACCCCGAGGGAAAGGGGAAGCCGGGAAACTTGGAGGATCTTCCCAGAGGAGACCCAGAAGTCCTGCTGTCCATTCTTGCTGGAAACGACCTGGACTCTGGGACCCTAGAGTCTTGTGCTCGTGAGATCCCAAAACAGCAACCCTGCCTTCTGGACGCTAGGGAGTCTGGCCTTTGGGGGCCTGGCGTGGGCAAACCTTGCAGAGTGGACCTCAAAGGGAGA